GCGCCCACAACTCAATAAGAAAAGTAACAGGAGGAGATCATGATCTTTCATAAGAAACCAGGTTGTCTGAATTTAGTCTGTTTTCCCTAGATCGCAGGCAACTGGGGACAACTTCTTTTAGACCAGCCAGATAATTAGACTTTTAGTGCATCCGTAATTTCGAGGCCATTGTTGAACCAACTGGGAGGGTACGTCTTTGTTGTGTGTCCCGTAAAATGCGGAGATTGGCCCATACGAAAATTCCATGGAACGTCCCCTCGCAGGGAGTCCTTAAAACATGGAATGGAGTGCCCGGTACAGTGCTAATGTTTTCTGGCAGTGCGGAGACTCTCAAGCGTCGAATTAACAGCCATTCGCTGAAAAGGTTAGTGCATATACAAGCGAAATTGTGTCAGTAGATGTAGGTTGTGTCTGGCACACAAATATTGATGTCTTTACATATTCTCTATACATATCTGAATAAGCAACAGCCTGAATACTTACAGTAGTCGTTCTGAAAAGTGAAAATCACTGGTATGCGCGAGCCAAACGAAAATTGACGCAACTGATACATTATAGTGTTTTCTTGGCAATTCAGGACTTAGCCTACATTTAATAGTTTCATTGGTGTACGGAAGCACCGCCACAGCAGGGAATCCGTTCCATGCGCCAACGACTTTCCGTGAGAAAGCCTTCCGACGAACATCCCTATAGATTAACTTCCTCTTAAGTTTAGAGGAATGACTACGCAGACAGTCCATCCCAGCCAATGCGGAGAAGATATCGAAACCCAAGGCACACTCACGATCTCAAACAATCCTGAAGGGTTGAATAAGGCTACCGCGTAGTTGTCTGAGATTTATAGGAAACAGTTTAAGCTCTGTCCCTCTGGCTTCGTAAGAGGGATGACCGAAAATCTTCGCCATCATCGCAGCCCTCGCCTTCAGTCATCCAAGTAGTTGATAATCTTTCCCGAGTCACGGACGACAGGCCTTTACGCCATACACCAAGCGAGCCCGAATGGTAGTCACATTTCAGACGCTCTTATATCCTCATGGAGCAAAACAGGATTAGCCTCTTTTTTGAACTGCATAGCGATAATATCTAATTCTGTTTACAAACTGGCATATTAGTGCTGTCCTAGTTGTAAGAGTTCCTGAGGCGGTACGATTCTAGTTTCGTCAATGACCACCTTGATCTGACTTATTCCAGCTGTTCAAAGCTTCCACTCTTTACCTACTTCTGTTTGTCGCAGGGTATTTCCGTTAAGATCTCGTTAAACCCACAAGAGACAGCTCATTAGTATACAATGCCACCTTAAGTTCGTTTTTAAAACCGAGTTAAATCAATACTCCCATTAACTCAATTAGAAACCTTTCTGAAGACACGCTCACCCAACGAGTCATCAACACCTAGCACATGAGATGAAAGGTTATTTTCCATGCCTCCACATTTTCAAACTTCCTAAAGCCAAAGAGCCCCTGTCGTGGGCATGTGCTTCGCACACTGAGTAGGTAACGGTGTCCTCATTCAATCACTATAAGGACAAACAAACAATGCCCAATGCTAATGAAAGTTAAAAGCTATTGAATCCCACATGTACCATTAACTTCAGTTTTGTAACTTCTCAACTTATGGCTTGGTATTAAGCAGTTCAGGCCATTAATAGAGCTTAAGGTATGTACCTTTAATTTCCCTATTTGTTGCAATTTGTTTCGAATAATTCAGGGAAAGGCATATTAAACGTCTAAATCTCGGTACTTCCCTGCATTACCAAACATTTGTTTTATCATCGACACTGTTGCATTCGACTTCCGGAGTTTTTCCAAACTTTACCTCTAACCTTCGTGCCCTATAATTTTCTTCCAGAACTCATGAATTTCGGTTTGCAGTTTGATGAGTGCGAGCACTTTAGCATTATTGTCTCTGAACTACTCGGCACATTGCAACTTCCTTTATCGCCAAAAAACTTTGGTAATTTGGGAAACAACATAAAAATATCTAGGACAATGCCCAGATTTCATAAGATAGGATGCTGGACATTAAGACATAGTCAATTTCGAACCTGCTTGAAAACCCGAACTAAGCGGCTTGTTTTAATCAACGGCCTCGACTCAGACTTTCGGTTTCCATACTCGATCAACTACAATGGTGGCGAACAGCTCTACGTCTGCTCAGTGCAGGCATAGGTCACACAGTAATCACAGATGCTGCTACGATTTCCGGTACCGGGGCGAGAGCACACACAATCTTTCCGGCTCTTCTGGTTCTTCGTCCACAAGTACCCCCTCCTCCCGCCGGAAGCGAAAATCATCCACAGATTCCAAGAATAACTCTTCTGGATATGGCTGTTCCGAACCTAAGATTTGTAAAACTGAAAAGACTAACAAAAGGTACTTCTGGGGAAGAATTGTGCGTTGTCACGCGTGTTTTGACGGAATTTATTTCAATGTGATAACTTGGCTTTCTTCTGTTCTGTTCTTAAAGTTGTGGTTTTTGTCCCTGTTGGTTCAGGCGCAGGCTAAGTTCTCATGACGTATCGCCCCGTAAGTCAAGACACCTCGAAACGCCGGTTAAGAGAGACAGAGAGACCGATCTGCCGTCCCCTAACGCCGCGACTCTCCACGAGTGTAGCCCGCGCAGTCCGGTTGTTCGGTTCCGTAACGGTGACCTGGGGTCTCAGGCGCAACGTGGCTCCGATGACGAGCGTCGTCGCCGCAGTCGAAGCTTAGGGTCAAAACACCGCTCCTCACGCTCCAAGGCACGCGGGCTTAAAGACGGTCACGGTTCCTCCGCATCCAGGTCTCAGCGTGTCAGCAGTCGGCACGGCAAGAGACGGCAAAGGCGGAGCCGAGAGAGGGCCCGACGGAAGGAGAGCCACGAGCATCACAAGGGGAACAAGCAGATCGCCGTCGTCCCAATTGGTGACGTCATCAAGCATCGGTTCGAGGTCCGTAAAGTCTTAGGCGAGGGCAGCTTCGGACAAGTTCTTGAATGCCTTGATCGCCACACTCGTTCACTGGTGGCTGTGAAGGCGTTGAAGAGGTTGGACGATTATCGGGAGGCCGCAAAGCACGAGGTCGATGTGCTTGATACAATCTCAAAGGCTGACCGAAGCTGCCGTTCGAACTGCATAGTAACTATTGACTTTTTTGAATGGCACAAACATTTTTATATTGTTTTCCCCTTACTTAGTTCGAGCGTGTTTAGTTTTCTTGAGCAAAATGACTACGAGCCATACCCTACTGAGCACGCCGCTTCCATCACGTACCAACTTTGTGAAGCAGTTACATTCATGCACAGCCTAGGTATGTGTCACACTGACTTGAAACCCGAGAACATTTTGTTTGTTGATGCCGATTATGAAGAAGTTTACAACGATCGGAAAGGCAGGTACGTTCGTGTCGTCAAGGACCCTAGGATCAAGGTGATAGACCTTGGCTCCGCTGTCGTTGAGGGGGAGAGGCATCCTACAACAATCCAGACGCGACACTACAGAGCCCCCGAGGTTGTTTTAGAGCAGGGTTGGTCTTATCCTGCTGACGTGTGGTCAGTCGGCTGCATACTCTACGAGCTTGTGACTGGACAATGTCTCTTCATGACTCACGACAACCTTGAACATCTTGCGATGATGGAGAGGGTTCTCGGTCCCCTTCCAAAGCACATGATTCGGAATTCCAGGAGACGCAGGTACTTTCGGCATGACCGATTGGATTGGGATCTCGACAGCTCTGACGGCCGTTACGTAAGGAGGCACCTCAAGCCCCTCGGTGAGACATGGTTATGCTCTCCAGACCTAAACACTAGGCTGTCGTTTGATCTTGTGAGGGAGATGTTGACTTATGAGCCCGAGTGCCGGATAACGTGCAAGCGTGCTATGACCCACCCCTTCCTGTTGTCCTTAGTGAGCAATTAATGAGATTCAGATTGTAAAATACTTATATTTCTAAACATTCTTTGATGAGTTCTTTGATGCCGTTGTTGCGGTCTGTTTTCATCCATCTTGTCAATACTCGACGCCTGTATTTATTGTACATATGCAAGATTTACGCATACCTTCTATCGCTGTTTGCCTCTTCATTCCGTTTGTCTCTTCCTCTCTCAATCTGAGATTTGTTTATATCATTACTAAACTTACCATGTAGGCTTTGGCGACGATATCTGTTGGTATTCCGGCCGTTTTCGCGATTTTCAGTCCGTAGTTTTGCAAGGAAACGCCAGTTGTTATTTCGTATAGAAAGGCTGGCTCACCTTCATGCATCGATACCAGCATTTTCTATTGAGCTATGCTAACTTTATTGGACAACTTACCTTAAAGTTAACCTTTCCTGACATTGGTTGTAGGAATTTTATTGCCCATCCACCACTGAGTGTGGTAAGGACAGTGTGTGGGGAGTCCCTTCCAGCAAGATAATCAAGCAAGCCCAGGGAAGTTGCCTTTCTTGTGATCTAGAGACAAACAAAATTCGGGGAAGGCACTCGGATTCTAGCACATTTCAAGCTTTAGGTTTCTGGACTTGTCAGATTTAATAAGTGGGTCTGGTGAGTTACTTGGTTTGCCGCGAAGGCATAACAATCGGGGAATCAAGTACGGACTTAGGCCGTCTATTCGTATTCAGTTAAGTGACGAAGCTGTAGTGCACTGATAAGTTTTTGGGCACCTAGTTCGGCCTCTGTCCGTCTCAGCCGCATGTCTCCGGAGTCAAGTAACTGGAGAGGGATAAGGACCTTGGGTAAGCCCATTGTCCAATAACTTCAAGGGTGCTTGAACTCACTTTATCATTTAGATAGGGGAATTCGTCCAAGAGGAGCAGCGATCGGGGTGTGCCTTGTTTCAATGCCATGGTCAGCCAACTGATGGTACTGGTGAACTTGGAGCTGCCGGCGTCGGCTCCAGAGTCCGCTGGTAGCCACGCGAGGATGGTGTCCATCTGTGGAAGTGAGGCAAAGTCGGCGGGCACGAAGCTTCCAATATGTGCCAGGTACACTATCAGCCCCACCTGAAGTGTGTGTGTGTTAAAGAGACATCCAAGATTCAGAAATAACGTGGACTAGAGTTGCAGTAGTGTGAACTATTTACATGTTTTCATATTTCAAAGGTG